TTTTTTTTTTTTTTTCTATTTATTCGTTGATATTATTATTATTTTTCTAAAGGCATGTTGTTATAAATATCTCTAGCATAATGAATTAGTGAGTAACTCAACTGCAATTAGTATTCTTCTTACTGTTGAGCAGTTTTGCTATGAAGCCAACAATTGGCTCCACAGTGGAGCCAACTTTCTATATACAATAAATAAATCTACCATAGTAATAAAATTATATAAGTGTTATTTAATTAATCAATGAATATGGTAGGTTTACTTGTGGTATATAGAAGGTTGGATCTACTATAGAGTCAACTGTTGGCTTCATAGCAAAACCGTACTCTTGAGAGTCACATTGACATTTTTCCATGGTCGAAGTGTCAATGTAATAAATATTTTGCTGCTAATGTATGTAGTTATAATTCCAAATAAATATTTAGGAAAAAAACCAAAGTTGAAGTATTTGCGAGACAGAATAAAAACAATTTTAAGCTTTTTTTAATAGTCTATAGAAAATGAAGTCGAATATTGTCTCTATGTACTCTTCTATAATTAAATTTATTAAAACTATAATTGAGGATGGGGCTATTACTGACAAAGAGGACAATGTATTTTGTTGCTTGTGCAGATGCAAACCCTTTAATTTTATATTTTATCTTCTTGTAATGAGACAAATTTACACTAACTAATGAGTTATGAATAGAACTATAATGACGATTAAGATATTGTCAATGCTATGGATTTGGTAAGGGCAAGTAAGACCGTGCTAGTTTATAAAAAAACTAGAAAAAAATCTTTTTTTTTTTTTTTGTGTTAACTAGAGCTTATTTGAAAACGGTTAATATGATCAGTTGTGTGTGGAAATTTAAAAATTTATTAAAATAATGTTTTAAAAAGAATAATTAAAATTGATTTGATGTAAAAATAAGAGATATATGATTAAAAATTATAGGTAGTTAAAATTGTGTGAGTGGATTAATAGTGAATTAATGTAATGTGTAAGAATAGTTGAATGATTTTAATTAGTTATATTGATAATATTGAAGATGATGGGGTTGAGTTAAAGTCGAGTTAGATTTAGAATTGAGATAGAATTTTTTTTTTCTAATTTTTTTTTTTAGAAATTTGATGAACAAGCCCGAACCAAACAACTTCAAAAAATGAGAGAAAAAGAATGTGAATGGAAAAATTTATTGCACATAAGTAAATTCGTATGTAATAAGCACGATATAAAAAATTCCGTGGACTTTTTTATTTTATATTGCCCTGGCTGATAAAAATTTATGCATCCGTCGCTGCCAACACGTCTACGATGACTCACTAAGCATTCATGATTATTTTACTTTTCTACTTAAGCAAAAATTGTAATAAACAAATAAACACATGAAAAATTACCTCAAAAAAAAAAAAAAAACAACACGAGTAAAACGTAAGATTATATTCAAAGCATTTATTACATCCTATGTTTTGTCTGATACTTGTCAATTACTATAATTAGTATTCGGTTATTGGCACATGCACAATTCAACTAAGATCTTTTACATTATTTTGTATGCAATATTTAAAATTTAAGTTAGATAATAAGTATATAACATTTTATAAATTTTGTTGTTTGTAAACATAAAAGATATAAGTATAAACTATTTAACCTACATATAAATCACTATATTTATTGAAATAGTATAATTTTAAAAATTTTGAGTGATTATGACCAATTAATTAAACACAAAATGTTAATTGGTACTATAGCAATTGTGAGTGGAAATTTAAAGTGATTTGATTGTTCCATAAAAAGAAATTAACCAATTTTAATTAAAAAAAAATGTTTGATGAGTTAAAAAAATATAATAACTATTCTAAGTAGATAGTTTAAAAAAACTACATGGAAATTTTATATATGTACTTTCATATATAATTTAGTGTGACATATGATTAGTTAGTATTAGTTATTATGTAACTAAAATAGTAATATAATTAATTGATTAATACAAAATGTAACAGTTTCTTTTTACCATTAGATGAATAAAATAAGCGGATTTTATTATTTCATCAAATTCCTTGCCTATAATCTATATATATAATTTGGAGAAAAAACATTTAATTATATTATCAGTGCATTTAATTATATTATCCCATCTAAAATTAGCATTGAACATTATTCATTTCAATTCCAGCCTAAAACTGTTACAAATATTATAATATTTTTTTTTGGTTTTTTTTATTTTCTTTGTTACCTCACCTAATCATTAATTGCATGTATTTTTCAGCTAAATCATTTTATTACACCAAAACATTTATCTTCTTATTTTGCAGCAAACAACAACCATAAATCATGCACTTTATTTAATTTATTTGACATAAAATGTGTAATTGGTTATAATCATTTTAATTTCAAATAATTAAAAAAGAAAATAAATTACAAAATTACGAATTTAAGTTGAAAAAGTTATCAATATCCAATCTACTTTCGCTATGGTACCTGCAAAATAATAAAAAAAATAAAATTAACAAATGAAATATTAGCTTCACACACCTCCCCCAATTCGTCTCCCCCAAAAAAACCCGTCTCCCTTATATCTCTCCTGGCTTCCATCTCTTCTCGCAGGTAAGCTCCTTCAGCCGCCGTCCGTGATCATTGGTGGACGGTCTCCTCTGCTTATACATGGCCGCGGCGCTCCTGTCCTTTGTCTTGTCGTCATCGGGTTAGGGCTAGGGTTTCGGCGAAATCATTTTCCACTCGAAGGCCGCCAGAATTCAGTGGTTTCGGAGCATGGCGGGGTGTGGTCGTGCGTGGATGATGTATTATGTCTCTTGAGCCGGCTTTGGTCGGGGCGCCTCTTCTCGGCCAGTTTGGAGGGTTACCGTTGGTGGATTTTCGGCTTCAGTAGGGGTCTGGTCGCCGGCTCCTCGATTGTGCGGGGGTGGCGGGTCGGGGCTACTCCTTGCTGGCCGGGTTGATTGG